CTAGAAAGATAGTGACCGACTCTAGACAACAGAGGACAGATATTTATCAGAGCCTGTGTTTATCCTGGGACAGGACGTTAGTACACAGTTGTGTTCATAAATGGTAAATGGCCTGTATTTATATAGCGCTTTACTAGTCCCTAAGGACCCCAAAGCACTTTACACAACCAGTCATCCACACATTCACACACTGGTGATGGCAAGCTACATTGTAGCCACAACCACCCTGGGGCACGCTGACAGAGGCGAGGCTGCCGGACACTGGCGCCACCGGGCCCTCTAACCACCACCAGAAGGCAACGGGTGAAGTGTCTTGCCCAAGGATGCAAAGACCGAGACTGTCCAAGCCGGGGCTTGAACCAGCAACCTTATGATTACAAAGCAAACTTCCAACTCTTGAGCCACGATCGCCCACTAAACAGAGTGATTCTTATAGAGCACTTTTATACTCTCCAGGACCACTCTATACAACATGCCTCATACAGACAAGCACGTTTTTTTCTGTTTAAGTGTTTTCGAATTTCTGTAACACACTCACTCATTGACACATCAGAGAGCAGTTTGGGGTTAGTGTGTTACATGTAGACTGAAGCAGCCAGGGACTGAACCACTCATACACCCACCTCATACAACACAAACTGTGCCATAGACAAACAGATGTCGACCATGTCTGGTAATACTGATGACACTATTTTTTTTATTATGGGTCAATGTCTGCTGTAAGTAGCGGACAGAGATTAACAATACTGCATGGACATTTTTAAACGTATTTATTGTTAAACAATTCTACCTAATAACATGCGACCATTTAAATTTACCATTTTAAAGTGTGCTGGATAATAAGCGTATTTGTCTGTACTGTTAGAAAGGCTGTCTCCCTCCTTATGTCAGCATTATAACAGCGTTGTCTAGCCTTATTTGTGTCTTAATCAGTTAAGTTATAAAGCAAAAGGTCATTAAGCTAGGCACCTAATACGTATTTACTTGTAAATGTCTGAACAATATGTTTAAAGGTTTTCCCATGATTATTTTTATGTTGGCTGGAAAGAAAATATTTTTATTTTCCGCTGTAAGTGCAGCTTAGTGCAAGTTACTACAACTTCTGCATGAATGTCCATTTCATGCTTTGGAGAGGCAAAGTGGGAAATGCTTTACAAAGCAAAAGGTCATTAAGATAAGCAGTTAATATGTATTTACATGGTGGACTGGCCTGCCTTTACACACTTTGACATGATAGTGAGTTGCTTGTTCAGATAATAGAACCTTTCCCAAAATTACTTACCCTCAACATTCAGCTTGGTCCCATTACCAAACAGTAAGCGTCCACATAAAGCAACAGCGCAGTAGTAGGACCCAACATGAGAGACATTCAAGTTCTTCATTGGCAGGCTGTACACACAGGTGTGTGCTTGTGCCTCTGATTTCTTCTTGCACTCATCATTCCTGCCTCCATGGGTGTATATGAGCCCTGGATGAGATTCTTCGGAGTCTTTGAACCAGTAAACCTTGTGGTCTTCATCACAGGTCCCAGTGCGGACTGTACAGTTCAGAGTCACAGAGCCTCCTGGCTGGATGGTCTCAGATAGTGATTGTAGGACAAAAGTCTGGATGTCCAAACTGGAACCTTTTACATTGAGATATGTTTCTTTGGTAAACTCTAAAATAAAAGTAAAGCTTGTTGCGCAGTAGTAAGTAGCTGAATCTGAGACACGCAGATCTGTTATTTTCAAGTGATTTTTACTGATGCCAGTAACTAACGTAAAGCGTGGATTACTTTTGAATTCATTATAAAATATGCCATTTCCCTCATATCTGTAGTAGGTAGAGATGAGCCTTGGTTTTTGTCCCAGAGTTTGTTTGTACCAGTAAAGTCTTGCAGCTTCACCTTCGTAAGAACAGTGCAGAGTTACTTCATCACCAACATCAGCAGAAACAAAATCAGTCTCTTGATGAAGAGATGAGTGCGGTTCAGCTGGCTGAGCTGAAACAAGATACAAGACAACGCACACACATTTCTTTCGTTGCATATATATTTAGTGCAGTGGACATCTGAAACCTAATTGAGAAATGACATCTCAAAACAGCAAAATTAGAACTCACCTATTATTCCTACGCACACACGTATCAGATAAACTACAAATATTAAATGTGTCATTATGGTAAAATAATTTTTCTGCTCTTCAAAGAGGAAATTTCATGTGTCCGGCCAACCACAGAATATGTGTAATGTCCCGTAAAGGAAACATGCTCATCGCTGTCATGTTTAGCGCTTGAAAAATGAAAAACCACAGACATCCTTGGTTGTGCAACGTTGTGGACGTAAAATGGGTCGTGCTTTCTTTGAAGATTTGCTTCAGTTTCCATTTAGAGAAAGAAAACTACGACGCTCATCTTGTTTGTTTCAGATGTGACACTGTGTGGCACTAACATTAAAGTGGTCCTGTCATTACTAATTTAAAACTCAACTCTATCTATCTTCTATTCTTTGACTCACATAAAATAGTTGGTTATTTTGACCACCTGGGATTAGTTTAAAAAAGTTGGGGCGCTGCCGTGGTTTAAACTCGGCCTCCCTATTGGTCTTTCTTCCCGTGCCTAACTCATACTTTGCCTTCTGCAGCAGGCTTCTCCCTGTAATGATAAGAGCATTAATGGTGTCCTGCGTCAGGACACCATCACCCCATATTTGTGGTGATGGTGGGCAGGCTGTGAGACAAAGCTGTGTGAAAGGTACAGCCACGTTGCTCGGTGATAGCATAATAGCATGTTTTAGCTAGCTGAAATGTATTGTTTGGGGGCAAATACGATAGTGTTAAAAAATGCTTATATATGAATATTCAGTCCAATACACATAAAACTATGTTGAGATCGTGAAATGTTGGCATAGAACTATGGCGCAACTCGAAGCCTGAAAACGTCCCACAAAAACTGAGCAAACAGGGTTTTTTTAACCTTTTTTTTAAACTGTGCTGCAATTAATTACTGCACAACTAATTTTGACTGCATCTCCACACAGGATATGCTTACGAAGATGGAATATGGGGGCGAGCAGAAGTACGTTAAAGTTCCACAAAGTGATGAATGGAGGACATGCATATTGTATTGAAGAAAAGAGTAATGAACATGCTGTTATTTGCATTGACCAGCACACCTATGTCAGACCCTTTGATAAACAATATTCCAATGAGAGCATGTACACTGTTCCATGTTTTAGAAATGTTTGAAAATTGCGGTTCACAGTTCAAAATAAATGTTTTTCAGAAAAACATTGGCTCTTTTTAATAAATGTGTATTTCCCAAGGAATTTCTGAAAGTTCAGAAGAGTAAAATTTAAACCTTTTAGAATTAATTAGAAGATAACTCTTATGTAGTTAAAATAAAATACTCTGTGAGACTTGATATCTAAACTCTTAACACCTAGTTAGCATTAATAAGTGTTAAATTATCAACTCCAGACAGATTTGGTATTTAACACTAAATCTGAGTTAAGATACCAACTCTCCAAAAAGAGTTAAATTCACACTCTTTGGTGTGGACCTATATAGACACTTTAATAGTGTTGAAATCAAATCTGACAGTGTTTTTGCTGTGTACCAGGTACTTTTTTAGTACATGCTCGCCCGGGGTTTCCAAGAGTCTGACTAAAAGCCACAGACTGAGCAGCATTTATATTGTTGTGTCAACCGTTACCTTTGTGGTAGTGTTCCCATCACATATTAATTACGATGTCGGACTTGGTAATCTAGAGCAGAATGATCAAAATTTGACAGTTTCAGGCCTGAGCAGAAGAGCCGAGGAGGTGAAGCTGTCGACTGAGGCAGAACGGCGTGCATTGCAGAAGAGAAGCTGCCGGGTTAATAGTCAGGCAGATGTGGATGAGATGATAAACCCTGACTGTCGTCGTTTTATAATAATCATTTAACATTTTAAAACCAGCTGTAAGGTCAGTTTTAAAATAAAGCCACAAATTCCACAAATTATTCAAAATCAATTTCGAACTTTTCATAATGTTCTTCTGCAAAAATAACATCTTCAGATGTGTTAGCTGTGGTGTTTGTATACCGTTTATTTATTCTATTCTAATTTTAATTTTACGATCTATAATAGAATGATCAAAATCAGTGATAAAACTAACAAGACCTCCAAATACTTAAGTACTTTTTTGTCAAATATTATTATACTCATACTTATACAAATATTATCATTATTATTATAAATAAGTATAAAACTTGTGGAAATCAACAACTTAATGTTGGTTGCTCAGATCGACACTTTAATAGAAACTGTTTGTCTTTGACATGAACTGTAATGATATTCTGTACAACTTGATACAACTCTAACTGAACACTCAAAGCACTTTACTCAACTTGCCTTATTCACACATTTACACAATGTAAATGCTTTCTATTTAACATTCACACACATTCATACTTCAGTGAATGCATTGGGGAGCAACTTGGCATTAGTATCTTGCCCAAGAGTATTTGTTACATATATTTATGTATGTAGCAAATACTGGATATTGACATAACAAATTTCATATTAAAATGATACCGTTTTAGTATGTCAATAATTTATCAGTCAATTAGGAAATATAGACTCTGTGAATAAAAAAAGAAAACAAGCATTTAATGTTCGGACATTCAGCAAATATTGCTATGTTATAATCAACGTTTCAGTTGTAATTTATATTAGCAATAAATGAGAAAAAGAAGAGAAATACAGCAACCAATGTACTTTTAAACTAGTCATATTTGAGACAAAAGTACACATGATACTGCTACGCTTAAGCCCTATTACACAGAAGTAAACATGTAAAGTTTTATTATTTGATACTAGAATACAGACATTTATCCTCTGGATTCTCTCTTTTTCTTGTAGATCTGCTGGTCTTTTTTACCCTCAAAGCAGCATAATGAAGGGTTTCTTCAGGTTCACAATTCTGATAATGAAATAAATCCACAAATCACAATATGGCACATGTTATAAAATTTTAAAAATGACAGATATTTGTCATAATAACAAAATGATTTAGAATTGTATTATTCTACCTCTGTGTTTGTTATAGAGGAAGCTGAAAATTTTGCATTAGACCCTGAAACAAACACACAGACACACGAATCATATTTCAACCATACTGGATGGTAATTTTATATAAACAATATATGAACAGCAACATTTACCTGTACACTGCCGTCTGCTTGTACCATAAATTAAGAAAGCCAGTATAAAGATCAGGATTGTGGTGAATGCCAAGGCAGCAATTAAGAAATACACAGAGAGAAGAAAAGTCTCCTGAGCTGCAGTAACAAATATGACAATAAGATATTATGTTAGCAGCTTTTCCAATTTGTAATAACATTTTAATTGTAAACAGAACTATTCATCAGTAAAAGAAATGTGTGCTAAGCTTCTACTCACACCCAAAATCCAGCTCGGTCCCATTTCCAAAAAGCATGTATCCACACGAGGCAACAGCACAGTAGTAGATCCCAGCATGAGAAACATCCAGGTTCTTCATTGGCAGGCTGTACACACAGGTGTTTGTGTGTGTCTTTGGTTTCCTCTCACACTCATCATTCCTGCCTCCATGGCTGTAAATGAGTCCTGAATGAGACTCTTCAGAGTTTCTGAACCAGTAAACACTGTGTTCTTCATCACAGGTCCCAGTGTGTACTGTACAGTTCAGAGTCACAGAGCCTCCTGGTTGGATGGTCTTAGATGCTTCCCCACATACATGTTTTAAAACAAAGTTTAAACTTGAAAATCGTTTCATCCCTTTTTTCATCACTACTTCAATTAGATTTGTCTTTAGCACATTCTCACATGAACATTCATTTTAGCATAATTCCTTTTCAACTAAATCACAGAGGAATTCATTCTATTACTTTTTCTCCTTACAACTCTGTTTGACTTCAGCCTCTTGATGCCACCTTTGATTTGTATTCAAAGTGTAGTCGCCTTCACTGTTCAGGGTCATTTACCTTGTTGTAGTAAAGCTGTCCCTCTGCAGCATGAAATAATTGTGTACATGGGGGAAATGACAGTTTGTGCTTTAGATTATAAGGAGAAAAAAAGATTTCTAAAAACTGTGTTGATATGTAATACACAACATAACACACAAAAAGAAAGACGGCATGGTGAAAGATGTTTTATGCTGCATTTGAACTCACAACTATCAACATACAAGAGAGAACAGAGTGTGTCAAATCTGCCATTAAGCCAATAGACAGTACAAAATTTTGAAAATCTGAATAGAGACACACAGCACACAATTGAGCCAGTCGCTTTGAAGTATGAATGTCGGTGAAAAAGAAGTAAAATGTCAGACAACAATACTGGGACTGTTGCAAATCCCAGCCCAATCACTTTCTATCCCACCTTCGATGAGTCTGTCAGTTTCATTGCAGTGTGCTTTACTGATCTTCGTGCAGTCACTGGTTATTGGTGGGATTGTTACACTGCAGCAATTCGTGGATATTTGGATGTTAGTCTGTTCTTCTTATTCGATACTGACATTATTACTGTAGTCCAATATTTTTTTGGCCCACCTTCTGTGAGTCAGTCAGCTTCTATTCTGTGTGCTTTACATTTATGTGCTCTTCTTCTTCCTCATCCTCATCTCACTCTGGTCCCTCAGAGAGCCACCCAAGCCTTCATCTTTATATCTGAGATGACAGCATAGCTACAGTCTTTCAGTTGTGGTGAGAATGTTAATGGAAGCCAACATCTGGAGTTTACTTCCCAGCCAAATGCCATTCTGTTTGTAGGTATTGGCTATAGCTATTATTAATGGACTACACTTAATTGTGAACAACAACAACAATGATAATAATAGTAATAATGATGTGGGAAGTATTTGCAAATCCCAAACACAGATTTCCCACAGCTGTTTTAAATGCACAGACTAGATAACAATAAGCAAACATTTTGTTTTCTCTAACTAATGTTACTAGTGATGGTAAATTTGATTCTTTTTACTGAATCGAGTTTTAATGAGTCACTCACCAAAGTGAATCGGGTTTTTTGAGTCATTTGATTCACTGAGTCAGTTGACCAGAGAGTGCAAAAAATTTACATTTTCACTCAAACTTAATTTGTTTCTCTTTTCATGTAAATCCCACTGCTAAGATGAATGATTCTAAAAAAAAAACAACTATTTTATAGAGCAAAAAAGAGCAAAAACATTTCTAAAATTAAGCAATTTCCTATCAAAATTGCTTAATAAACATTTATTTTGTTTATTTTTATTTTATTAGTATTTTCCTTAAATGTGTTAAATATATATTTTCTCATCTAAATGTCCACTGAGCTGTGAGCCAGGGGGCGGTAATGCGCCTTAACATTGGTTGCCAACCAAGAAGAAGAAGAAGCTGTGAGCCAGGAGGGAGGGGGTGAGTGAGTGAGTGATTCGTTCGCTCTATGATTCAGCACAGGAGGGAGGGGGTGAGCGAGTCCTGAGTGATTCGCTTACGCTTACGATTCAGCACAGGAGGGAGGGGGTGAGCGAGTCCTGAGTGATTTGCTTACGCTTACGATTCAACACAGGAAGGGAGGGGGTTGTCACTACCCGATCCGTACCGGAAACCCGATCGGTACCCCGCATGCGCGAAAGGTTTCTACTTCCGGTCGTAGCGTTTTACGATAGTTATGGGTCAGAGTATCTGTTAAGATGTTAAGAATAACAAGTATATCTTAAAATGTTTGCAATAATGAAGCATTTCAGTACAATGTAGACAAAAACGAAAAATAAAAAGAAAGTTACGGATCAGGACTCTCCGATCCTTACTGCGCATGTGTAAAGTCGGACCGTACAAATCGGGTCTACCCGATCCGTACCGCGCATGTGCAGATGTTTTCTTCTTCTTCTGTTCGTTTAATGGCAGTTTACTCCCCAGTGTACGAGGATACTGCCACCTGCTGACCGAGCGAATGAACCCTATTGTAAACTGAATTGGCGTCATTACAAACGTGTGTTAAATTTGATTTAGTGATAGTCGAGTGTGTTTATGCTTGTCTGTGTGGAGAGGATTGACTGGAATAGTGATGATGATGTCCGCTATCACTGTCAATTGTCAGTAAACACTTAATCTGGCTGATGAATCTTCACGTGACACATTGCTAAGTCAATATTATTAAGTCTGTAATTAGGCGCCATTCTTCTTATTTTACGGCGCTGTTGTTCAATCGGGGGACGCTCTCTGTTGAGGAGAAAAGCATGAATTTGTTTGTATACGGAGGTGTCCATTGTTTAAATGTCCCGGGCAGTCGAAAAGGAGGCAGAGCTGTTGAGAAATGCTAGGAGCTAACTGGGCGCTAACCGTATCATTCAAATATATTGAATGTCGCAATGTTGGCAAAGAGAGGAAGTGACGTAAGATTTGCGCATGCGGGGTACCGATCGGGTTTCCGGTACGGATCGGGTAGTGACAAGGTGAGTAGCTCAAATGTGCTGTTAGCATGTTAGCAGAGCGATGCTACTGTGAACCGAGGAGCTATTTTCTTGATGTGAGCTTCTACTCAGGGTTTTTTCTTCCAGTTCAGAGCAGAAATGCTTTTGTTAAGAAACTGGCTGTTGTTCCCCCCCACAATTTTAATTATAAGCTAGATATATTTCTACTAAGCGAATTAGTTTGCTAACAGAAACAGGGATGAGTCAGTGAGTCAGTTGGGCTTGTGAATCATGATTCACGAGTCAGTAAAGTGATTCTCGAGTATTGAACGATTCGTTCACGAATCGAACATCACTATGTTGAACTGATATTGGTTATTATAGATGGTAGTTAAAAAGGTTTTGTTTAATAAATCACAGCATTTCTAGAATGTTCTCTCCAACTTTAGGTAAAATATAATTAAACCATTATGGTTGTTATGTTTTTATATCTTATGAAAAAACAGAACATGAAATTGTTTGAACATAAATGTTTTTCTCTAAAAATGGGCATAAATTAAAAGTACCAAAGAAAATCAGTCTTTCACCTTTCATCTCAGGCAGCGCTGTCATACAGCTCCTCTCCTGTCAATCTTTTACATTTCTACCATCATTTGTCCATAGTCAGATTTGTTGATGAAATCTCCGCTATATTCATAGTGATACATTCAAAATTGACTGTAATGACTGAGGTCAGCAGCTTTTTTCTTGTGGTTTGTGCATGTTCATTGTGCACAAACCGCTTGTCATTCAAGGTAAACTGATGGGACACCAGCATGCTAGGCAAGCTGGGAATGGCTCTTTTTCCAGTGTTTTTCGATCCATGATCTGTGCTTTGTGTTGCATTAGCATTAGCAACTGAGGCATCATCATAACAGATGAGTTTCTTCTTGCCAATCACCTTGGCCAACATGTCTGATGTAAACAAGCTGGAGGGTAAAAAAGTTGTTAGTACCTCCTTTAGTATGTTTGCAAAGGAAGCTGAGCGTGATGGAGAGGGGATGGCTGGTCTGACTGTGTCCAGTTTAATAAAACAGACATGTTAGATTAGCATCTATGAGAATGTCTGAATGTAATGTGTTTAACAAGCTTAATTTTTTATTTTGTCCCCTGTAGATTTTATCCATCACACACTGTTCAAACCATTTCATTCAGCTGATTTTGTTGTTATTTATATATTTTAATAAACTCAAAATCCAGGTCTGTGTTTCTGAGCTCATGAAAGCGGTCAGTGGTGGTTCGGCTGTAATCGCCATGCTTAGCTTTCTGTAAAAGTCACCACACACTAGGATTAATCATACATTTATTCATGTCAGACAGGGTATTTATACATTTTAATTGATCTGTAGCTCAAAATCTGTTGTATACATTTATGAGTCTTGTGAAGGCCTAGAATATAAACAGCACGTAAGGTTAAAGGCAGCTCTGAAGGCAAAAAGCTGTCTCCAACTGACAAGTGAGTGTATATCAGAAATCCACTTGTGTTCATTTTTTTTGAAAGGTTTGTTTAATAATTTTTTGACGCAAAACTCTACAGTCATCACAGATGTTTGAAAACTTTACCATGATATACTTTAAAATGAGAAAGCATGATCTCTTGTTCTGTTAAATACAGATGAAACATTAGTTTTACTAATTTACACTGAAGTAAACACATTCACTCCAGGTGTCATCCTCCTGTCTTCCTGTGTTGTTGATCTTGTTCGCCCTTAAAACACTTTCGTAGCCCTGGTAAAGAAAAGATGAAAATCACAAATGTGGTTAGTGGGGAAAAAACAACAACAAAATTTCCCATCAATCCAAGAAGACATTACCGTTTCATTTGTCATGGTGAGATCTGAAAATCTTCTGTGAGATTCTGGAAAGCCAAAGAATAGATTTGATGTCAAAGTAACATGAAATTCAGTGTATATGCATCTTGTATATATGCATACATTACAGCACAAGTTACCTGTGCAGAGACAGTGTTTTATCTTCTTCAAACTCATTGAGGAAATTAGAAATACAATCAGGATTGTATTGAATGCGACTGCTCCATGTAAGACATACGCCAAGAGAAGAGAGTCCAGCTTGTCTACATATTCAAACAGCAGGAGACATTACGGAGTTTTCAACTTTGTTAAAATATTGACTTCAAAGTGGGAGTAAAAACTTTTCTTAACTGTACTTACCCTCAAAGAAGTGTTGTTTGTACAACAAATAGCTCAGTGGTGAAGGACACTGCTGGCAGTACCAATTTCCTTCGCCACTGCCTGAACTTATAATCTTTACCCTTTTCTGTGTGCATGTTCTTACATGTTGTTATTGACATTTTTTTGTAACTAGTTCAAATCAAGACAGGAGGTTCATTGGGGAAAAAATGCATATTAAACAAAAAACACCTTGGATCAAATAAGAGCATAAGGAAACTTTCAGATAAGCATGTCTGAAGTGACTTTGGATTTGCACTAGTGGCTAAAAATAATGTATTTCTATCACCATCTTTACTATATACGAAAGTGATCAGTTCGCCACTCTTACATGTAACCTACATATCAAGGAAGTGTACAGTTTCTTTATTCTATTCATAAGTAAACTGAAGGTTATTTTTAAATGCATTTAAGAGATTTAGAATTTTTTTCAGTTATTCATTTCCTTGAAAAATGCAAAATATTTCACACTTTAACTTGCAATATTTTGTGTATCTTAAAACCAGCTTATTTTTAACAGGGTTAAAAATAAATCCATACTGGTTCCAGCAATATAAATCATATTTATCCACAGTTATTCATGATGACCAATTTTATCAATGTTTTTTTTCCGATCTTTGATGCATTTGTCAAATATTATATTAATTGACATTTCTCTAAAACAGTGAGTATAGTACTGCTAGATGTTAGGAGATGAGTCAAAGAAAGAAATTAGAACGAGGAACTGAAAAAGTGCCATTTGGGAAATGTCACTGTATGATCCAGTGGTTTTTTCTTTGTGCTATTTACTACACTGTAAAAAATATATATAATATAAAAATATGAAAGTATTTTACTGTGTATTTTACAGTTTTGTACTGTTTTTTTAGAATATCATTAAAATTACATAAAGAAACTGTGATTTTACATTTCAAATGTAAATTAACATAAAATCAAAAAACAATTTTCTTGTTTTTTAAACGTATTTGTCTGTACATATGCATATTTAGATTGTTAAAATACATTCACGAATGTATCATAATTTCACAAATATTTGTCCGTTATTTCAGAGATTGAAGTGTTAAATTCAAATGAAATGCTATGGAAAAATATATAACATGATTCTAACTGATGATTACATGATTGTAACTTTTTTTACATCAAATAATAATAATAATTATTGTTATTTAGGGCGATCGTGGCTCAAGAGTTGGCAGTTCATCTTGTAATCAGAAGGTTGCTGGTTCGAGCCCCGGCTCGGACCCTCTCGGTCGTTGTGTCCCTGGTCAAGACACTACTAGACCTACTGGTGATGGCCAGAGGGGCCGATGGCGTGATAGAGCCTCGCCTCTGTCCCAGGGCATGCAATCCATTATTATTTAAACCAACTGTTAACTGTATATTTCTGTACATTTAAGTATTATTATTCATATTGCCACATTCATTGACCTTGTTTATAGGTAATTTCATTGTTTGATCACATTAAATTGTTCCTAATTTAATGTTTAAAAGCACTTGAAAAAGGCAAAATCCCATGTAAAATTAGGGCAACAAACTGTATTGTCATTACTGAAAATAACCGTATTTTTATGAGAAAGTTATTTTCTGTTATTTTCTGGTATTATTTTGGCGCCCCAGCTGCCGGAATATTACTGTTTTTCTAGGATTTTTTTTTTTACAGTGTAGTGTAGATCTGCAGAACCAGCACCCCAATGCAACATGCCTGTGTCGGCTCTCTGTTTAAAGCATCCCATCCTCTGACCCTATGAGTACTAGCCAAGGCAATGCAGAGTTCAGATGGAACTGGTGTGGGTGAGAGGACTCGCCCAGTTCTCACTGCCTAGAAGTCCAGGTGTGTCTTCCCTGTTTCATCTGATAAGCCACACCCGTTAGCAGGAACTCCCCTCTCAGTCGTGGTCCTTGGAATTTGTGGGCTGATTTTAGAGGCCTGGATTTGTATGGCCATGGGACTGTTATTTTTAAAGGGCTGGTGTAGGATTCATAAGATTCACATTTTTACTTTTACTTGGAGCAAGCTTGGAGGAGAGAGCACTAGAGAGCACATCGTTCAATGTTAAACAAATAATCTAACAGGAAAGCAGGACTTTGTGGATATTTAGCCCTTCAGGAATACAGTGGGATCCCAAATCTTCACATAGTTGGGAAAGGCTGTGAGAAGCTTGGGAAGCTGCAATCCACCATGTAAGCAATGAAAGTACAAATTCTTCTCAGAAATACAATCCAAAACACCAATGATGATGATGAGCAGAGCCAAAGTCCAATTTGGAAATCCACCATCTGGGCAGCGAATGATCCCACTGGCATCTCTGCTGGAATTTCCAACTGCTCATCTTACAGAAGGCCCAGGGAACCGTTCAAGAATGTCTATGGGTGCTTTAATGTATGCTCTGTCAAGAGCCCACACACCTCTCCCCCTTATCTAGACAGACAATCACGTTGTTTACATGAAATCTTCCAGTGTCCAGCCAAACCCTATCATTCTCTCTCTATTTCCCCACATACATGTTTTAAAACAAAGTTTAAACTTGAAAATCATTTCATCCCTTTTTTCATCACTACTTCAATTAGATTTGTCTTTAGCACATTCTCACATGAACATTCATTTTAGCATAATTCCTTTTCAACTAAATCACAGAGGAATTCATTCTATTACTTTTTCTCCTTACAACTCTGTTTGACTTCAGCCTCTCTTGATGCCACCTTTGATTTGTATTCAAAGTGTAGTCGCCTTCACTGTTCAGGGTCATTTACCTTGTTGTAGTAAAGCTGTCCCTTTGCAGCATGAAATAATTGTGTACATGGGGGAAATGACAGTTTGTGCTTTAGATTATAAGGAGAAAAAAAAGATTTCTAAAAACTGTGTTGATATGTAATACACAACATAACACACAAAAAGAAAGACAGCATGGTGAAAGATGTTTTATGCTGCATTTGAACTCACAACTATCAACATACAAGAGAGAACAGAGTGTGTCAAATCTGCCATTAAGCCAATAGACAGTACAAAATTTTGAAAATCTGAATAGAGACACACAGCACACAATTGAGCCAGTCGCTTTGAAGTATGAATGGTCTGTTAGTCGGTGAAAAAGAAGTAAAATGTCAGACAACAATACTGGGACTGTTGCAAATCCCAGCCCAATCACTTTCTATCCCACCTTCGATGAGTCTGTCAGTTTCATTGCAGTGTGCTTTACTGATCTTCGTGCAGTCACTGGTTATTGGTGGGATTGTTACACTGCAGCAATTCGTGGATATTTGGATGTTAGTCTGTTCTTCTTATTCGATACTGACATTATTACTGTAGTCCAATATTTTTTTGGCCCACCTTCTGTGAGTCAGTCAGCTTCTATTCTGTGTGCTTTACATTTATGTGCTCTTCTTCTTCCTCATCCTCATCTCACTCTGGTCCCTCAGAGAGCCACCCAAGCCTTCATCTTTATATCTGAGATGACAGCATAGCTACAGTCTTTCAGTTGTGGTGAGAATGTTAATGGAAGCCAATATCTGGAGTTTACTTCCCAGCCAAATGCCATTCTGTTTGTAGGTATTGGCTATAGCTATTATTAATGGACTACACTTAATTGTGAACAACAACAACAATGATAATAATAGTAATAATGATGTGGGAAGTATTTGCAAATCCCAAACACAGATTTCCCACAGCTGTTTTAAATGCACAGACTAGATAACAATAAGCAAAATTTTGTTTTCTCTAACTAATGTACTAGTGATGGTAAATTTGATTCTTTTTACTGAATCGAGTTTTAATGAGTCACTCACCAAAGTGAATCGGGTTTTTTGAGTCATTTGATTCACTGAGTCAGTTGACCAGAGAGTGCAAAAAATTTACATTTTCACTCAAACTTAATTTGTTTCTCTTTTCATGTAAATCCCACTGCTAAGATGAATGATTCTAAAAAAAAAACAACTATTTTATAGAGCAAAAAAGAGCAAAAACATTTCTAAAATTAAGCAATTTCCTATCAAAATTGCTTAATAAACATTTATTTTGTTTATTTTTATTTTATTAGTATTTTCCTTAAATGTGTTAAATATATATTTTCTCATCTAAATGTCCACTGAGCTGTGAGCCAGGGGGCGGTAATGCGCCTTAACATTGGTTGCCAACCAAGAAGAAGAAGAAGCTGTGAGCCAGGAGGGAGGGGGTGAGTGAGTGAGTGATTCGTTCGCTCTATGATTCAGCACAGGAGGGAGGGGGTGAGCGAGTCCTGAGTGATTCGCTTACGCTTACGATTCAGCACAGGAGGGGAGGGGGTGAGCGAGTCCTGAGTGATTTGCTTACGCTTACGATTCAACACAGGAAGGAGGGGGTTGTCACTACCCGATCCGTACCGGAAACCCGATCGGTACCCCGCATGCGCGAAAGGTTTCTACTTCCGGTCGTAGCGTTTTACGATAGTTATGGGTCAGAGTATCTGTTAAGATGTTAAGAATAAAAGTATATCTTAAAATGTTTGCAATAATGAAGCATTTCAGTACAATGTAGACAAAAACGAAAAATAAAAAGAAAGTTACGGATCAGGACTCTCCCGATCCTTACTGCGCATGTGTAAAGTCGGACCGTACAAATCGGGTCTACCCGATCCGTACCGCGCATGTGCAGATGTTTTCTTCTTCTTCTGTTCGTTTAATGGCAGTTTACTCCCCAGTGTACGAGGATACTGCCACCTGCTGACCGAGCGAATGAACCCTATTGTAAACTGAATTGGCGTCATTACAAACGTGTGTTAAATTTGATTTAGTGATAGTCGAGTGTGTTTATGCTTGTCTGTGTGGAGAGGATTGACTGGAATAGTGATGATGATGTCCGCTATCACTGTCAATTGTCAGTAAACACTTAATCCGGCTGATGAATCTTCACGTGACACATTGCTAAGTCAATATTATTAAGTCTGTAATTAGGCGCCATTCTTCTTATTTTACGGCGCTGTTGTTCAATCGGGGGACGCTCTCTGTTGAGGAGAAAAGCATGAATTTGTTTGTATACGGAGGTGTCCATTGTTTAAATGTCCCGGGCAGTCGAAAAGGAGGCAGAGCTGTTGAGAAATGCTAGGAGCTAACTGGGCGCTAACCGTATCATTCAAATATATTGAATGTCGCAATGTTGGCAAAGAGAGGAAGTGACGTAAGATTTGCGCATGCGGGGTACCGATCGGGTTTCCGGTACGGATCGGGTAGTGACAAGGTGAGTAGCTCAAATGTGCTGTTAGCATGTTAGCAGAGCGATGCTACTGTGAACCGAGGAGCTATTTTCTTGATGTGAGCTTCTACTCAGGGTTTTTTCTTCCAGTTCAGAGCAGAAATGCTTTTGTTAAGAAACTGGCTGTTGTTCCCCCCCACAATTTTAATTATAAGCTAGATATATTTCTACTATGCGAATTAGTTTGCTAACCGAAACAGGGATGAGTCAGTGAGTCAGTTGGGCTTGTGAATCATGATTCACGAGTCAGTAAAGTGATTCTCGAGTATTGAACGATTCGTTCACGAATCGAACATCACTATGTTGAACTGATATTGGTTATTATAGATGGTAGTTAAAAAGGTTTTGTTTAATAAATCACAGCATTTCTAGAATGTTCTCTCCAACTTTAGGTAAAATATAATTAAACCATTATGGTTGTTATGTTTTTATATCTTATGAAAAAACAGAACATGAAATTGTTTGAACATAAATGTTTTTCTCTAAAAATGGGCATAAATTAACAGTACCAAAGAAAATCAGTCTTTCACCTTTCACCTTTCATCTCAGGCAGCGCTGTCATACAGCTCCTCTCCTGTCAATCTTTTACATTTCTACCATCATTTGTCCATAGTCAGATTTGTTGATGAAATCTCCGCTATATTCATAGTGATACATTCAAAATTGACTGTAATGACTGAGGTCAGCAGCTTTTTTCTTGTGGTTTGTGCATGTTCATTGTGCACAAACCGCTTGTCATTCAAGGTAAACTGATGGGACACCAGCATGCTAGGCAAGCTGGGAATGGCTCTTTTTCCAGTGTTTTTCGATCCATGATCTGTGCTTTGTGTTGCATTAGCATTAGCAACTGAGGCATCATCATAACAGATGAGTTTCTTCTTGCCAATCACCTTGGCCAACATGTCTGATGTAAAGAAGCTGGAGGGTAAAAAAGTTGTTAGTACCTCCTTTAGTATGTTTGCAAAGGAAGCTGAGCGTGATGGAGAGGGGATGGCTGGTCTGACTGTGTCCAGTTTAATAAAACAGACACGTTAGATTAGCATCTATGAGAATGTCTGAATGTAATGTGTTTAACAAGCTTAATTTTTTATTTTGTCCCCTGTAGATTTTATCCATCACACACTGTTCAAACCATTTCATTCAGCTGATTTTGTTGTTATTTATATATTTTAATAAACTCAAAATCCAGGTCTGTGTTTCTGAGCTCATGAAAGCGGTCAGTGGTGGTTCGGCTGTAATCGTCATGCTTAGCTTTCTGTAAAAGTCACCACACACTAGGATTAATCATACATTTATTCATGTCAGACAGGGTATTTATACATTTTAATTGATCTGTAGCTCAAAATCTGTTGTATACATTTATGAGTCTTGTGAAGGCCTAGAATATAAACAGCATGTAAGGTTAAAGGCAGCTCTGAAGGCAAAAAGCTGTCTCCAACTGACAAGTGAGTGTATATCAGAAATCCACTTGTGTTCATTTTTTTTGAAAGGTTTGTTTAATAATTTTTTGATGCAAAACTCTACAGTCATCACAGATGTTTGAAAACTTTACCATGATATACTTTAAAATGAGAAAGCATGATCTCTTGTTCTGTTAAATACAGATGAAACATTAGTTTTACTAATTTACACTGAAGTAAACACATTCACTCCAGGTGTCATCCTCCTGTCTTCCTGTGTTGTTGATCTTGTTCGCCCTTAAAACACTTTCGTAGCCCTGGTAAAGAAAAGATGAAAATCACAAATGTGGTTAGTGGGGAAAAAACAACAACACAATTTCCCATCAATCCAAGAAGACATTACCGTTTCATTTGTCATGGTGAGATCTGAAAATCTTCTGTGAGATTCTGGAAAGCCAAAGAATAGATTTGATGTCAAAGTAACATGAAATTCAGTGTATATGCATCTTGTATATATGCATACATTACAGCACAAGTTACCTGTGCAGAGACAGTGTTTTATCTTCTTCAAACTCATTGAGGAAATTAGAAATACAATCAGGATTGTATTGAATGCGACTGCTCCATGTAAGACATACGCCAAGAGAAGAGAGTCCAGCTTGTCTACATATTCAAACAGCAGGAGACATTACGGAGTTTTCAACTTTGTTAAAATATTGACTTCAAAGTGGGAGTAAAAACTTTTCTTAACTGTACTTACCCTCAAAGTCCAGCTTGGTCCCGTTTCCAAAAAGCATGTATCCACACGAGGCAACAGCACAGTAGTAGATCCCAGCATGAGAAACATCCAGGTTCTTCATTGGCAGGCTGTACACACAGGTGTTTGTGTGTGTCTTTGGTTTCCTCTCACACTCATCATTCCTGCCTCCATGGCTGTAAATGAGTCCTGAATGAGACTCTTCTGAGTCTCTGAACCAGTAAACACGGTGTTCTTCATCACAGGTCCCAGTGTGTACTGTACAGTTCAGAGTCACAGAGCCTCCTGGTTGGATGGTCTTAGATGCAGACTGCTGAATTAAAGGCCGGCTGTTCAAACCTGAACCTTTAACACTCACAGTGATTCCTTCTGCAAATTCAAAACTTACCGAAAAGCTACTCGCGCAGAAATAGGTAGCTGAGTCCGAAACCTGCACATCTGTGATCATCAAATGGTTTTGAGCTTTTTCAGTAGACAGTGTGAAGCGTGGATTGTTCTCACATTCATCATAGAAAGTGCCATTTTTATCATACGAATAGAAGCTAGAAATGAGTCTTGGCTTCTCGCCTAGGGTTTGCTTATACCAGTAAAACCTTGCTACCACTTCACCTTCATAGAAACACTGCAAAGTTACACTCTCCCCGACATTAGTGGATATAAAAACTCTGTCTTGACGAACAGATGAGAGTTGATGACTCTTCTGAGCTGAAATGATAGAAGGAAAAAAGCAAAGACAACTGATTTAGAAACACGTAGGAACATCACTGACAGTGACCTTGATCTCTAAAAGATAAACGTTACTGAGGAAAAAACACAACTCACCCATTTCCCCAAAGAACAAAAGCATCAAATAGAAAACAGATGGTGGAGATATCATCATGTTCAAATCCGTGACTTGAATGGAAAGAATCTTTCTGTTCATAGTGTCTTCAGGGGCAAGACTGTATTTGATTGGCTGATTTAAAGTCACACTGTATGCAAAGAAAGAGCTTCACATTCACAGCATAGTGTCAAAACGTGATGAGAGATTCACATTGAGAACAAAGTGTGTGACCTGAGCGGCGCATAGTGCATGAAGGTTGCTAATGCTCTACGTAATCAAGAAGAGTTTCAATCCTCGTCTAGCATTAATGCTGACAGAACAAATGCGTACTGGGAGTTTTGTGGCATGTATTTCCATGGATGAGCAGCTCCTGCAGCAATGTTTAGTTGGCCCCATATTTGAATCCATATAGTGCATTTAAACTGTTAGCAGTCGGACGTACCGCCCACGGGACATTGGATGGTTTAGGGGACTAATAGGACTGCTAAGGGGATAAAGCAATATCAAGTCCTAAATCTGAATGTTAATATGGTAAAAGTAATGAGAAAGATTGTAGAAGATTACAGTTCTAAAACACAATGTCAAAAATTTATTACATTCATGTTCTCAAACATTGTGTTTAGCAGCTTTATGAAAACAGTGTTAAATGGAAATATTTTTTATTTAACTGTATTTTTACATTTCTTTTAATAATTCCACTTTTGAAATGTAAACAAAAACATCAAACAAGCAAAAACAGAGCAGAACAAAACTGCTCACCAGGCTTAATAGAATAAAATGCACATGTTCAATAGCTGATCACATACGACATACACCAACGCCAGTATAATCAGTGCCCAATGTAACCATGTAAAAAAAAAAAAATCCTAAATTTGGGAAGGTTCTATTTTCATCTATGTAAAAATACAGGTCATGTATAACAGTAATACCTTCAACTCATCCATGAACTTTTGTAGTGAAAAATTATCATCCTTTTTAAATATATTTTCCAATGCAAATGGATTTAAGTCATGACTATGAAACACTGCCCGATGCAGATTCTCTGCACACATAACAGTGATTTATATTAGATTTTCTTAGTGTACAGACTGCGATCAGTCGATCTGGGCTCCTGCTGCTCTGACATTTACTGCTCTTTGTGAATATACATAACTGAATTTCACAAGAT